TGAGGGGAGAGTTGCACTCCAGTTCGCTGGAGGTTGATGTGTCTTCTTCCAGCACCCTCCAACAGGCTGTTAGTTGAGGGTTGTTGGACCCTAACAAGTCTCAATTGGTGACCTGTCGGAGGGTCCTCGTATGTTTTTTTGGTGAATCAAATCTTTTTGCTGGCCGGAGAGTGGTTTTTCTTTGCCCAAACGAATCTCTTTCCCCAAATGATGTTTTTTCCTCATTGGGAAGTACCAGGACCTTTGACAGTAGGCGGCGTTTGTTCCCCTTGGAGCGCAACAGGGTTGTCCACCATGAAGGGCTTTGACCCGCAAGGGAGGTCGTTTGCAACGCCGCAACACCTTTCAGACACAGGCCGTCTCTACAGCTTCATTTGATCCCCCAAAAAGTCGTGGGTTTGGTTTCCGAGGTCACGGAATCGGATGCGACGGTCATCGTCGCCTTCCCTTGTTGCCTTCGTCGGTGAAGTTCGTGAAGACGCACCGAGCCGTGAACGGGGAGTCCATCGACGCCACGTCTGCCACGTCACTGGACCATCCAACACATGGCTGGACTCGTCCAACTGCCTTCCGTCAGTTCGTTCCATCCTTCAGTAGCAGGACCCTCATGGACCCGAAACCAGGCGATCGGGTGAGTTTGGGAGCCTGAACACCCACATGTAGCAGGACCAGGAACCGGGGCCTTTCGCTCGTTCGGGTCGCCTCTGGGTGTTGTTCTCCTCAGTGTGGCCAGGAACAAGGCTGAAGAGGATGCCAGGCGGGGGCGAGCCCGTACCCGATTGGTCAGGGAAGGATAAGACGTCTAGCGATCCAGAAGTCTCAGGGAGCTTCATACCATCTCATGACTGAATCGATTCGGAGCCATCTTCTTTGGATGAAATCATCCCCAAGGATATAATGGTCCATACCAGACACCCCTCAGTGGGTGACGTACAACGAAGCTCATGCACCTTTTCTCCCACCAATCCGAACCGAACCGGTGAACCGCAGCGGACTTCTTGGATCCCGAAGCGTGAGTGGATGACTCCCAGGTCAAGCCAAGAGAGGTAGCGTTGTTCCGTGACCTGAACGAGTCGGACCGTCACGAGTCAGTGGGGTACCCAGTCCTGGGATAGGCGAATTGGTTCAGGTCCTAAGAGAACCTTTGGACTGGCGTGTGGCGTCGGACGGTGCCGGGGGGGCGGAATGGTCTGCCCTGACACCAGACCGGCGGCTGCCTCCCCACAGCATGTGATCTCTTCCCCCAGTTCCGTCGATCGACGGAACTGGGATGCGAAACCGAAATCCCACTCGTCACCGAGAAGAGGTCTGAGGTGTTTGCATGAAGTCACCTCCCACCGCCCGTGAATGTGACGCGCGGCTCGGGTGTCCCGTCCGAGCCGAGCCGAGCTCCTCCCGGGAAGGCCTACGGAGCACAAGGAGTCGAAGGAGAAGGAGGCGACTCGCCCGTCGCACCTGCGGCCGTCGTCGCGAGACGGGCCGAGGGGCGTCGTGGCCAATGGTGTGAATGGCTGCGCAGCCGGGGGTTTTCCAGGAGGCAAAGAGCAGGGGTTGCCGCACGGTCGGCTTTTGCGCTTGGATCTCGATGCCTGCGGACCTTGTTATCTTGTTGGCTTCAGTCGGGGTGGCTGGTCTGGAGTCTGTCTTTTTGCATCAAGTGTGTGCTGCAGTGAGTATCTCAGGTGATGCTCCTGAAAAATTGATGCCCTTCACGTGGGTTCCACCATGTTACACCTCGATCTCTAAACTGATGACCCTTCTCTTCGAGTTGGACCATTCTGTGCACGACTGGATGTCCCCTTCACGATCTTCCGTGTCGTAGTGCAGGGGGACACCCAGCCAGGACACCACTAAAATGCCTCAAAAAGGGATGATCCTTTCACTCACCACTCTGCCATGGACCCCCAGGAGTTGGTTCTGGGACACCCTGAATCACTTCTGTTCTATCAATGACCCATGGACACCAGGCCTACGTGGTGGGTCCAGTCTTCGAACGAAGGTCTCTCCATCGAACAAAGCAGAACCCAGCCTTCGCCCGCCTTCCGTTCGACCCTTGTGGTTGTAGCGTGAATTCCTTAGTAAAACAGCTGGTTTTCTTTGGGATTCGAACCAGGAAATCACTGCCTGGCCAGGAAGCTTCGGAGGAAGCTCGGCTCGCGTTCGTTTCGCTCGCCCCGCCCGAGGCGGTTCGCCCTTGAGGAGTGAAGGACCCGGTTCCGGGCGCAGGTGGAAGCGGTTTTCGAGGAAGGAGTTCCTGGTTGTGTGGGGTGCAGGTGCAGGGCAGCAGCGGTTTTCCGGACGTTCGGTTTGGAAAGATTTAGATCGTGCCGTGCCTAGAAAGCCTACCTCTGACTCTTCTGAAGAGGTGATGCTCAACCACATGGTGGTGCCCTTGTCCTGGCTCGGGCCATGCTTCCGGTGCTGGCTCGACATGCGACCAGTTCGAGGAAGTTGCCAAACCACGCGGTTCGAGGTGAGGCGCTGGGAACAGGCATAATGTCACGTATCCCCACACGCGCACCTCATATTGCAGATACAGACCGAAAAAAAGTGCCAAAATCATCCGCTCTTGTTGGCAAATGAGCAGAAAAAAACACTTACAGAACACCAAAGACGGACCAAACCCAAAATGCCGCTTGTGCTCCTGCTGGACTCGGGCAATAAGCGAATCCCACGGACTATCAAGTTTGCTTCAGATCCTACATCCCATTGACAAAGTTGCCATTGAAACGGTGACACTTTTTCAATATCATTGTATACCAGCACCCTCCTGGCCAGGCTGTTAGTTGAGGGTTGTTGGACCCTAACATGTCTCAATTGGTGACCTGTCGGGTCCTGGTACATGTGCTTCCGCTTCCCCTTTTTCGCGTTCGATTTTGAGCTTCGTGCGCAAAGCGTTCAAACCGATCTAAATATGCATAGATGTTCTGGGGTGATTCACTCTGTCCCTCACAATGTTGCAGGATGTTCTGCGTTGCCTACAAAAGTGGATCCAAATCCCGCTTGTTAATGCCAGTTTCATCTCTCCCTGTACTTCCCAAGATCGTATACAACTCATTGGAACTCTGCACTTTTTGCAATTTACGGTGTGACTTAACGTTGAAGACTTGTTCCACGCATGTGTCAACCGCTGGACTAGGTTTGCGTGAGCCAATTGAAATGTTTGTGCATTGCCATCCAAGATCGCCTCCAAAATGCCTTGAACAAAGCTTGAATCTGTATATCTGGACATGTTCTCTTTGCATCGATCAAAGTCATCAACCATAGTCACAGACTCGAGGCAAAGCCTCGATTCACCGACTGGCCCACGTGGATGTGTGAGGTTTGTGTTACGCCCAAGTCATTCATGGATGCTACAGGAACAAGAAGCTAATAGGGGCTCCTGGCATCGCAACGAACGGAGCAAGGACGCTACGAACGGGGCTCCTGGCCTTACTACTAGGAGCAATGTTCGCGACTAAGTGTTTTGTGGATTTGTTGCAACTGTTTGAATTACTGCCGATGCTCGACAACAGTTCTGATTGTTGGGCCTAGCTCTCGCACGTTCCATCTGTGGGGTCAACACATGATGCATGCCATGGGTGGATATTTGGACAATCCAAACATGGTCCCCGTCGGCTCCATTAAAGACGGATAATGGTAGTGGCTAATGGGACCAAAGCAAATTAAGACAGGTAGTCAGCTTCTTGGTGAGAGTCTCGAAGGTGTTGGAAATGGGAACGGAGCTGTCTATGTGCATGTGTGTCATCTTGCCGGCAAAACTGGCATGCGCTTGACTGACTACTGTCCCATAAGGCTTTAACCGCACCTGTTTGGTATCCTGTCAAATCCAAGGGAATTAGTCGAAGAGTATAGTCAGAAAACCTGACGGATTAGCTTATGCTGGGTGTGTGCATCAATTGGGTCGGACGTCACACCTTTGCGGCCCCGCGTGTGGTCATTTGCGCCGTCACAACGGGTGACTTTAGATCTCTGTGCACGCGTGTGACTGTTCACAACTTGTTTGGATGCATAGCAAACCTCTAGTACCGTCACGTGGAATGCATTTTTCGTCCCAGCAGTGGATGATATTCTTTGGTAGTGGACATGGATACTTTAAGGCTTTAAGGTGTGTTTTTTGTTATTTCCTGGTTCCTGAACAGCAAATCCAAGATTTGAGAACTTTCAACACGAGCCGTCAGGGGGGGGAATGTAGACAGTTGATGAATCGCCCAAGCCAGATGTGAAACCATTCTGGAGACGGTGTTGATTTTCATCCAGTCTATTTCAGATTGATCGAAGGAGATTGAAAGAAGTGATTGTGATTGGCCAGGGCTGATGTAGGTGGAATATGATGAAATACAGAAGTTTGGGGATCAAAGTGAAGAAGGGGCTGACTATCTAGGCAGGCTGAACTTCTGTTGAGTTCGATTCGCAATACCCGTGGGCTGGAAAAAAACCATTGGCACTACAAAGAGTTTTACCCCACAAAACTGATCAACTGGAAAGGGATGAGAAACTTCCGAAACCTCTAGTGACTGGCCATCCAGCCATAGAAACTGCTGATTCGAATGCATTTCTTCGTGTTTCCTCGACCCCCAGTGGCCCTTCAACGGCTGGTGACGCCAATTCCGGCAAGGACTGAGAGTTGGGTCGCTGACCGGCCCAGGCGGGCGCGATGCGGCCGGTGGCGGGTTGTTACACCAAAACAGAAACTCGATGAACACAGAGCTTGGAAGGTTTTTGGGTTTTTGTGGGAAGGTGGGAAGGTCTTGGGTCTTCTGCTGATGAACTCTGTGTGAATTGGGCATGTGCTTGTGACTTGAACCCTGTTGACGTTGTTCCTCGCCGCTCTCGAGACTAGGGAGGGCATAGCATGCTTCGTACTGAGCTCATGCAGTGGCGGCTTCAAAAGAGTGCCTGTTGAGGTGATCCAGGGCCTTCGTGTTGACCGCACCAAGCTCACACAATTGCGTTGGTAGCGTTTGTCTCCCTCGACAGACGCGCTCTCAGGCTGCTTCATGTTCGACGACCTGTATGAGCAGGAGGACGATGGCGCCGAGATGCCCAAGGCCGCTGACTTCGATGGCGCTGGCCTCTATGAGGAGGAATTCGACTTGGATGATGACGAGGTCTTCGACTTCGGAGACGAGATAGGCCATGCGGGCCCTGCGGCTGTTTTCGATGGCGCGACTTCACAAACGTCGCAGACATCAAGGATGGCCATGTCAACAAAGTCTTCGAGACGGCGAGGTTCCCGCGGCTCGAGCCGCGGTCCTTCCTCGGAGACGAAGAAATGGAGGTCCGGACATATTCCTAGTCCTCCCAGCTTAGCAGGCAACATCGAAGAAGCTTGGCGAGGGCCTTTCACTCCTGGACAGAAGATTGCATACTGGCGTTTGAGGAACGCTGCTGATGCTGAAGGAGGCATGCCAGGCTACAGGCAGAGCATCATTCTTGCTTCTGATCCTGGACCCACTGGTTCAATTTGGGTCAGAAATGACCGTGGCAGAATTGTTCAGGTGTCACGGGAGCAACTGCGACATCTACATGGAGAAGAAGCCTGGATTCCTATGAAGACTTCGCTTTGCTTCGCACTGCCGAAGAAGACCTTCAGAACAAGCATGGTGTGGGACAACACGACCTTCGAGGTGTTCTACCTGCACCAGCTCAAGTACCTGACCTACCACAACTTCCCGCTGGAGGAGCTCTACTACCTCTACCGGATGCACCTGGTGGAGCAAGTTCCTCTCAAGCTCAAGAACCTGTTCAAGCGCCTTTGACTTCGGAAGCGCTTGCTGAACCAGAGGAGGTGTTAGTTCCGGACGCTGGCGCCGCATGTTTGGATGCTAGAGGGAATCCTTTGGAGCCCACTCCGCTGACACCTGCGATGGCACCTGTTCCCGAGGACATGGACACTACCTCGGTACCGGCGTCAATGAGAAGGAGCATAGAGGGCAATGAATCAGAAGCAAAGAGACTCAGAACATCCACCTCATCTATGCCACCAACTCCTTCTTTGTCACGCAGGACTTCTTTGACTACCCCATTTCCCCAAGCTGAAGCTCTGGCAAGACAGATTTCAGTTCGGACTCAAGCCTCAGCCGCGATGCAACCAGTTCCTGAGCACAACTGGGAAGAGAAGCCAGCAGCAGCTGAAGTTCGTAATGATGCAGCAGCACCAGCTCCTGAAGGCAATGAGGCAACAGATGAGAATTTGAACGTGACCACCCACGAGACGTTGGTGATCAATGCACGTGCTTTTTGCAGAATTTGTGGAAGTCTCGAAAAAGAGATTTTTGCTGGACAAGTTCACTGCCGCCGCTGTTTGAATGACTCTTTCACTGACCGGAAAGACCAGATCTATAGACACCTTGACCAGGACCTCACATATGACCCTCAAGTGAAGGAGTGGAGACCCTCATCACTCACCGACACAGAACATCTTCATCTTCCTGATCAAGAAGAACTACAAGAAATCTGGTCGACCGGAACTTGGCACAACGAAGAGGTTCACCGCCTCGAAGGAGGAAGAACCAGAGAGCGCAACCGGCTCCAAGCTCAAGAGTATCTCTACTTGGAGTCCCATTGATCAGCGATGGAGTTGATACACTTTAGCCAACGACAGTCTAGAAGAAGCAGACCAACCAGGTCATGAGAAAAAGGTGAAGAAAGTTATCATGTACCACGCCTCCCGACCAGGCAGACGTCGACTCAGTCCTCGAGCAATGCGCCAACATCGTGCACTCTACGCTCATTTCAAACCTCATGAAATCTCATGGGCGTGCGGATGCATCAAGAACTGGTTGGGACGGTAGCCCTCAAGGATTCCACTCGCTTTGTCAAGGTTCTCAAATCTTCTCCGTGATCAGCCAGATCTGTGAGTGGGAAGAGGCCATAGCAGTGGGCAAATTGGAACCAAGCGCCGACGTCTACCAGGCCTTGGTCCTCAACCACAACCTGCAGAAGTTGCCGGATACCTCAGATGACTTCGGCGAACTCAACGCCAAGCACTGAAGCGTGAAATCCCATGGAGATCCATCGCAAAGGCTGACATTCCGCAATTCGTGGAAGCAACAAAGAAGGAATGGGCAGAATGGCTCATGTGGAGCTCTTGCAAGCTCTCCAAAGGTGATCGTCGCAAGATCGCCAGGGAGCGAATACTCCCCAGCCGTGTTTGCTTCAAGTGGAAACCAATGGATGGAGGTTCATGGTTCAAAGCCAAAGCTCGGATCGTGGCGCAGGGCTTTCGTGATCCTCATTTACCACTCCTTTCGAGGGATGCTCCGGTTTTGTCACGCGCAGGACTTTTTTGTCTTCTGCAATGGGCATCAACTCACCATGCACCCCTCTTCAACGGAGACTGCAAATCATCTTTCTTGCAAGGAGTTGACGAGTGGAACCACGACTCAGAGGTGCTGTATGAACTTTCAGCGCCCGTGTATGGACAAGCCAATGCGTGCTAACAACATTGACGAAGCTTTCATGGCAGCAGCACTCACTGGATTTTGTTTTTGCACCGAGACACCGATGATCCAGACGGACCAGTGACGGCATTGTTGGGCATTCATGTGGATGACATCATTGCATGCTCCATCAGTCCGAACGCCAAGGACCTTGAAGATGTGAAGGCAGCCTTCACGTGGGGCAGCGAGTGGGAATGTGACGACTTCGTCTTCATTGGCAGGCGAATCACTTGCCACAAAGACAGTAGCATCACGCTGTCGCAGGCACACTATGCCACGGAGGTGATCCTCACGAAAGACAAGCATGACCCTGAGCAGAAAATCAACGGCGACAAGGAGGCCATGTCTGAATTCCGCACAGCCATAGGGTCACTTCAATGGTTGGCAGGCACTTCACGCCCTGACATAGCTGCTGACACGTCTTTGTTGCAGAAGAGCCATGACCAACTCACCTTCAGAGACCTCCAGGAAGCAATTGCTGTGCTCCGCTATGTGAACGCCACAGCAGATGCACATGTGAAGTTGCGTCCCATTGACTTCAATGAGATGATCTTGGTGGCTTATGGTGACTCGGCCTTTGGAAATGCTCCGGGTGGCAAAAGCCAAGGCGGCTTCATAGTGACGGCCACTCACTCCAGCGCTTTGGATGGAAGTGGGGAAGCCTCCCTTCTCAATTGGAAGTCGTATAGACACCAACGTGTTTTGCGGTCCACTTTAGCTGCGGAAGCGGCGGGCCTAGATCATTGCGAAGATGATGCAAATTTTGTTGGATGTGTCCTTGGCGAGCTCACAGTTCCCGGCTACAGAGCTGCTCATTCTGGCAAGACACCCATACCGGTGTTCCCAGTGACGGACGCTCGCAGTCTGTTTGACGCGGTTCATCGGCTGTCTTCGAGCTTTCAAGAGAAACGCGTAGAAATCGACATCGCGGCACTACGTGATAGCTGTCGCAATCTACGCTGGCTTCCGACTGAGGAAATGGTGGCTGACGGTCTGACCAAACGGAGCAAGGCTCTCCGTGATCGGCTCTGCACTTGGAAGTCGAATCCCATAGTGATTTTGAAGGAGTCTCACGATGCCACAGACGACGTGGCGAATTGTGAGCCTTTGAGGAACAAGTCAAAGAAGAATAACACCTGTGTGAATTTGACATGTGCTTGTGACTTGAACCCTGTTGACGTTGTTCCTCGCCGCTCTCGAGACTAGGGAGGGCATAGCATGCTTCGTACTGAGCTCATGCAGTGGCGGCTTCAAAAGAGTGCCTGTTGAGGTGATCCAGGGCCTTCGTGTTGACCGCACCAAGCTCACACAATTGCACTCTGGACGCAGGTGTCAGTTCAACCTGTCAACCGGTCACAGGCGTTCCTGAAAAGTAATGTTTCACTTGGTGAAGATCCCCACAACCAAAGAAAGGGTTCGATATGATTTCCTCTGTGCCCGAAACCAGTCATGGTCCCCAACAAATGGACAAAAAAACAGAAAAGGAAGAAAAGGGAGCATGGGTGTTCTTTAGTGATTCCTATTTTCATTCCTTTTCATTCCTTTTCAGTTCTTCAGAAGAGGAAAATGGGATGAAAAGGGATGCAAAGGGAGAAAACCCTTCCTTTTTACCCTCCCTCTTGTTACTCTCCATCGCGAATCCCCTCTTCCGGTCGAACTGTCCTGCCCCAACGGACGCTTCGACCGCTGGTTGGCCGGACGCCTTCGGCTTCGGAGGTGTTCGACGCTCATGGAGGTGCCATTCTCCTCGTCTCCCGCAGTTCGGATCCATCTTTCAGAGTGAAAAATACCACCATGATGACCAGCTCGGGGGCCAGATTTCCCGAAGTTCCTCGGGTCATGGGAGGGGTGTAGTAGACCTCACCAATCCATCCCGGGAACCGTTCGGGATCCTCCACTACGCCGGGCGGTCTCCGCCCAGGTCCGCTGGACGGAAGCCGCGCGCTCCGCCGTTTCACCGCGGAAACAGCTCCACATGGAACGTCGTGGGTGTCCGCTGCAGTCTGAAGGGCACCCTGTTTTGAGGCGTTGTCGTGTTTACTGTGTCTGTTTTTTGGGTTTTTTTTCGTAGAAAGTCATGCGTCCTGCAGTGAACTGCAGGCAAAGAGCCAGATTGAAGTCTTATTCCCCATGAGGTTAGGTATAAGGTTTGTCAGGTTCATGATGTCTCGCGGGAAGCTTTCTCAAGGGTTCGCTCTTTCCGAGGTGTTCAGCATCTAGAGATTCTGCACCCGAACGCATGCAAAGGGTCTGTTCGGGTACAGACCCCTGGCAGGGTCCTTGGGTTCTTAGGATGGAGGTTTTTCTGGATGGTCTCTAAACTGCTGATAGATGAGCTAGCGTCACCATGTTGTGGGATTCAGATTTGAACCATCTACAGGTACTTTGAAGTGCAAGCTTCATGTTCTGTCCAGTATCATGTTAAAGACAAACACCGCCAATCGAACAATTGAAACTTTGAAAGGGGCGGCAAACAGAGTGTCCATGTGAGACAAGGGCATGAGGTTCTGATCACATAAAGGTTTATTCTGTGAACCCGTAATTGCCGTAACTCTGACCAGCTCTCAGTAGAGCAACAGAAGGCATCAAGATCATCTCTTCCCACAGACAAGTCGAGGCTTTAGATGGAAAAAAAACAGCATGGGCAGCTGCTCGGATGTGAGGAAGAAGCTGCCAAATCATGCCCAAACCCTAGCCTTCTAAGGCCATGCTGCCATGGTTCTAGTGTCCAAATCCTTGCCAGTCGACCACAAACAAACCATGGGCCAGGAGAGGCCCAAACAGCAAAGCCAAGAACCAGTGGTGCAAAAGTCGTCCCAAAAACCAAACGCGACACAGAATCCTTCTCTGAGATGTCCAGTCCACGTGGTTGGTGTTTCTTCGTCGGTTTTGACTTCACCGTGACTGGCTGGGACTGAACAACCGACGAGCCCGACGGTCGGGTGGCCTTCAGAGTGGACGATCTCGCGAGAGCGATCTCGGATCGGCGTCCTTTGCGTGGAGTTTATAAGCAGCCGGAAAAAAAGAAGGACACCCACGACCGACACGGGGGAAGGTCGGGGGTTTCGGCGGCTTGCTGGGGGTGTTCTTGGTGGGTCCAAGAAGGTATTTTGTGCATGTTAGTGTTGTGGCATTTTAGATGGAAGACGATAGAACATCACGAGACGGAGAAAGCAACTACTTGTAGTGTTCCCCAAGATTCCTGGCCCGCCATTGATGTAAAGGGTCTTTGACGGAAGAACTCGTGTTTTATGAAGATATTACACTACAAAACCAGGTCAACCTTCCTTTGAATGGTCTTGGAAGGCTAGGTGTTGGTGCCTTAACCAACCAGGCCCATTCGCAACCCTTCCAACGGAGCCACCCCGTAAAGGTCGAAGGCGACTCCCAAGATAGATGGCCTGGGTCTCCCAACTGGTGTTCCTCGTACTTCGGCAAAGCACTCGTCTCCCCGATCGATGGCAAACGGGTTTTGCCGGAACCCCATATCGATGGTCCGAGCGTGGCGAAGCCGCTGGAGGGGCAGCTCCGAATCTTGGCACCCAAACCGCCGACGTCCATATTTTGTTCGCACGAATTCCCAAAGGGAATGATTTGGGAAGAAAGTGATTCAACTCACTCTGGTTAGAAGTATACAGTCTATAGGAGCTACTTTGGGTTGAGTATGTCCAAGGTACGTTTAAGAAGTTTTAGTCCAATGTTTGATGATCCATTCCACTTCCATGTGGGCGATGAAACCGTAAAGACTGGGATAAGATGGGCGCCCCTTCTCTTCAACCAGTCTTAACCTGTTTTCAGAGGCCAGTCAGACGGGCGAGCGCGAACAAATGGAGAGGGGGTCCTTGTCTTTTTTTCCGTTTTGGAACTCACCGGAAGCTGGCCAATATCCACGACACGCTACTGTAGACTGTTGATATGTCTTGATTCTATTTGAGAAAACACAAGCCCTAGACGTCCAAGACCAACCATTAAAAGAATGGGACACGCAAGGTTTTGTAGTGTTAAAGTGTTACTTGACCTCTCCAAGCTTGGAGTTTCTTTTCTTCAACAGTCCACGCAACAACGATCGGCGGCCTCTCTCTGCTCCAGTCCCCCGCGCGCCCCACGTGCCGTGCACGGAAAAGAGATCGCAGCCCGAAGCACGTGACGAAGCCAGCCATTTCCAGCAGACGCATCCCCTCGCAAGCCCCCCAAGAATGACCAATTCCAGGAAGGCCCCCCCAAAAAAAGTGAAGCCAAAGCCCTCCAAAAAAACAGTCCGGCCTCCCTGCACGGCCTCCCTGCACGGCCTCGCCTGCGCCACCGACCCTTCGAGCAGCGCGCGGACGTCAGATTGCGTTGGACCGGGACAAGACCGTCTTTGCGATGTCGAAGGTGTCCGTGGAGGAGACGGTGGAGACCATGATGAGCGTTCCTTCGTTTCAACTCGACGGTGGAGACGTGGTCACGCGGACGAAGGACCCCCCGGTGCGTTCGGAAGGCGGCGAAAGAGGTCGAAACACCGAGGGATGGGTGTTCTTCGGGTCCAAACGATCATCTCGTTTCGGCCAGAAATCCTTCGGCGGCCGAAACGAGTTTCGCCTCGAAAGAGAACTACGGGATCTGCAGAGGGAGGACACCGGTCGCACCGAAGACACCGCTCGACTCACCAGGTCAGCACCGGTCGGCGTCGCGGCGGCGCTCGAGGTCACGAGTTTCATCTTCTGCTCGGTCTCGATGATTGTCACCCGGAGAGCATGGAGGGTTTTTGCCGCTTCTCAGGGCTTTGCGGCGTTTTTTCCCACTGCACCTCCCCGGTATACGTCTTGAGAGGGTCAGAACACCAACCAATGGATTGTGTTTTGCTTTTCATTCTCCCAGATGTCTTTGAGGGGATTTTTCATGGAGGGGAAAGGACGGGGTGCTCCGGGATGAAACGCGTTGAGCTGCAGGGCGTGTGCTGCGTGTGCTGCGTGTGCTGAACCAGGCAGCGTTGAGGAACGACGTGTTGGGCTGCGCAGAGCGATGGCAGCTTCTATTGATTCTATTGGAGTTCATACCTGTCCTCTAGGCCTGAAAGAAGCAAAGCTCCATGCTGGGATCTGGAAAAAAACAAGAAAATGAAAGGACGATGCAATGGTACTTTGGAGATCTTTGGATTCAGGGGGGTCTCGGTGTAATCGCTTTTCAGGGCTCTATTCTGGGCACTCTTCCAGTATTCCAAGGCAGATCGCCCAAGACCAGGGGGGCGTACAGGTACCACACGTGACCACTCTGGCTGTCTGGGCTCGGAGCCCGCGACCCTCGACCTGCCGCGGCCGGACCCCGAAAGAGGAACGTCAGCCCAGAAAGGAAATAGACCAAAAACCCTGTGGTTGGGGGTTCCCTATTTCAATGCACACCCCTATAAAACCTTTTGGGAGTTAATATGCTATAATGGGTCTATGCATGTCTATGCTCTAGGGAGTCACATCGTTTTGAGAGGCTGCCATACCAGTCATCCGAGCGTTGACCAGGTGACTTGGCGTTGGCCAACTGGGTGTGTCACTTCTCACTGCCACCGTGACTTGGGCTCCACGGTGACCCGCGGACCGGCTCCGGTCGGCGTTCAGTGGACCCGATCCTCAGGTCTTCAACAAGTTGGTGATCACGGCCTTCCCCTTCGAAAGCACGCCGCCCGACTTTCGACGAGGGACCTTGAGGACTCGGTCTCACCACCGGTCGTTGAGGGTCGGAACGGTGCTCCCTACAGTGCTCCCGTGCTCCACGAGCGACAAGGTCCGTTGAAAGCGGTTTGAGGAGCGAAGAGACAACTCCTTGTTGGGGAGAGACATCCGTATCCTTTGTTTGCTCATCATTGGCATCTGAGAGACAACCCAGCTGGTACAGACCAGGAAGATTATGGTTGCTGGGTACGTCGTAGCTCGGAAGGACACTGAAAATGGTTCGAAAGAAGCAGACCACCAACAAACTCATGCTCTTAAAATTCTTAAACACCTGCAACAATCCCTAAAAGCTCCTAGAGGCAGATTTGTTCACTAAGTATCTCTGCAGCCGGGTTGTTCACCATGATTTGCTCGCTCCAAGGCTGACTGCCTTGCAGATGGCCTTTTGGCCAAATGGGTCCAACGAGCCTGACCCACCGGGCGAGAATCCCTTCGGAGGGAGGAGTGGAGGCGTAATGAGGTGAGCGATGAGGAGTCGCGCTTCGGTGACGAGCGAAACCGGATGGTTCCTCAGAAAGGACCCTCAAACATGTAGCAGGACCGGTTCGGGGCCGAACGGGTCGCCTCTGGGTTTGAGTCTTTTCCCCACAGCGTCGGAACCTTGATCCTGCCTTCGCTGGTCCGTCACCGCACAGCTACACAGCTACACCCCCCCGTCACCACGATGTTTGCCTGGGAGTTTGTTCCAAACAAAGAACTCCCCATCCACCCACCCAACTGACCTGAAGAAACCCAACTGCCCAGACGAGACCCTGGACCCGAATCCTTTGCAGGGGTCGCACCCGAATCCTCTGGAGGGGTCTGGACCCGAACCAATCCCTATGGTTTGGTTCGGGACCAGGAAAGGGCTGTGCACGGAGCGTCTGGGTGGAGATGCTACCAAGGCCTTTACGGTGCTCGTGCTCTTGGCCGCCTTTCCCTTCTTGCACATCGGCTCCTTCCGCGATGCGCTGCGCTGGTCCCTGGTGGCGCCCTGCTTCGCCGGCGGCCTCTTGACGGCGATGCTGGCGCTGAAGCACTGCACCTTGTGCCTCGGCAGCGATCGGACGCGAACTGAAGAAAGGGGCGCTCCTACTAGTAACAAGGATGCTACTCGGAAGAGACGTCAGAAAGGACATGGTGATGTCTTCATCTTCCCTATATTGCTGCATTTCCTCCCCGTACTTATGGGGAAGATGATGTTTTATTGGGGGAAGACGATCCGGCCTTGGGAAGTTTTGGACATCTTCTCGTCCCCCAAGGCTTGGAGATACTGGCAACTTGACTGGCATGGTTTCTGCGAAATGGTTTCTAGAGAGGGGAGAATGAACGGCAGAGTTCTATGTTTGCTACCTCCTAACTGGTAGCCCTGCTTCTTTGGGGAAGTGCCTTTCTGAGGTTTCATCGTTGCAAACCAGCTCTCCAGCAAGAGAGCCTGGTTTCTCTTTTTGAGTACCACCTGTCGAATCAGGAATCGAGTGAGCTGTGAAATGGCTCCACGGTATATTCATCCTTCTACTCGTCAAACCAGTTAGAACTTCAACTTCATCCCAGCAAGACCTCCCACCACCTCCCACCGATCCTCATGGATCCCCTCCGACCAACCTGCTGATCCGTCCCGAGGACCTTGGTGATCGTGGTCCGCGCCTTGACGCCGATCTTCACCCTGCTCGCCGAGAGCTTCAACAACGGCTGCAAGGCGGGGCTTTGACGACGGATGGACTCGGGACGTGCACCGAGTCGGTATACCGTGCGAAGACGGAGGAGACGTCCATGCGCAAGCAAGAGTTGAGGTTCTGAAGGCCCCCAACAGGCATTTGTTTTGTCCGGTTTGAAGGAGAAGTCATGCTTTAGCATGTAACATTGATGATATCCATTTGAGCGTTGTTGTACAATCCGCTGCAACGGTCAGCGCTTGCTGGCGACTTTCACGCTTGGACAGGTTTCCTTACCTAGCCCCGACTAGTCGAGGTTGTAACGGTTTTCAGATGTTTTAAAGCAAAATCTACAGCTACCAGCTTCACCTGACCACTCTGCCACTCCTGTTCGTTGGATCGAAGATGGTGTACACATCGTCACCAGGTCAACCGACAGGAGCTCCTCTCGATCCTCATCGCAGTCCTAGGCGCCACCGACCCCGTGACGGAACCGACGGCGAAGGGTCGCAGCGAGGGGAAGGAAAGGGCGGTTCTCAGCAACACACAGCTGAGAAGCTGTTTGACCAGGGTTTTGATAGATTTCGTAAGAAAGTTTGTGTCAGAAGGTTGATGCACTGGACATCGTGGCAGAAGCTCTTTACAAGACCGGAGAAGAAAGAGGTGGCAGGTGAACAGCTGGAGAAGTGGCACAGGCAGGTGCTCATACAAGCTTGTACAAGCTCGCTCGCGTAACCACACTGAAGTGAGGTCGCTGCGCCGGAACCCGGTCGCCCCGGTCGCACCGGTCAGCTGATGTCGACCCCCTCGCACCGGTTCCGAGGTGCCAAGAGGGATTTGGCCGCAACCGTCGAGGTACCTCACACAGGTGTCGACTGGTCCAAACCCGTGGCCAAGCGGCCGTGTGTTCGGCCGAGCCAACACGGCCGAGCCTGTCACGGAGGAAGGACCCATTGGTCAGTTGGAGGATCAGGAGCGCTGAGCTGATCTGACCTGGAAGCTGGATGGCGTGGTTTCAGAGCTGAGAACTGGCACTGGCACCGCGTCTCAGAGCTCCAACCGAACGGGTCGAACGGCCGAACCGTCGCTGTAGCAGGTCGGCGGCCCGACACGTTTTCGTGAAGCTTTAGGATCCAGGATCTTTATGACACACCCAGACGCGACGGACCCGAATCCTCTGAAGGGGTCTGGGGGTTTCTCACCGATCCGGTTTGCTTCGGGACCAGGAAAGGGCGGTGAACGAAAACGGAGCGTCGACGGGTGGGTATGACTTCAATCCCACGTCCGGAACGGACTGAAAGCGATGGGTGTGGGGTCAAGCGAGGAAGTCAACGAACCGCCTGCCTTCGGAAACCCGCCTTCACCGTCTCGCGGAACCGCCCCGCCCGAAACGACCTGGGCCCCGTTGTGGACCTTCACAACGGATCCGTTGGGACAAAACCATGGAGACGTTCCGCGTGGCGACGATGTTTTCTTTGTTCATTCCACTCCAAGAGAGGTCGAAGATAGTGAGCTTTCATGGTGAGACCCTACTGGGGTACCAATTTTGGATGGGTGGATCATGTTAGGCTCGTCTTTTCGGGTTTTGGTTGTCCATATCTTTTTCATCTCTAATCGCCATGGCCTCCAAATAGCAATAGCAATGGCCTCCATCTCTTTTCTCCCTCCAGGTGCCTTGCTATATACCAAAGAGTTGGGCTTTGAACACCTGGTCGGTGTGGGATGGATCTTCGTGAACACGTGCTTCTCCGTGCTGCTGCGCCTGCTGCAGCGCCGGATGCTGGCGGCGGATCAGGATCCGGTGGATATCTCCAAGGCGCCACCGCGCAACGGGTCGGGTGGCGCAGGCTGCGGGGTGAAGAAGGGAGGAGGATTGATGCCAATTTGCTGCGGGTTTTTCTCCGTTCGATTTGATGTGAAGAAGGGAGGTGTTCTTCTTTAGCTGAGTGAGTTGCTTCTCCCTCTTCTCAGGGCGGATGCTCGTTGATCAACAACGCCATGGGGCTACTTCCACTGCTCGCCACGGCCTACATCACAGGAGACGGCTCCATGATTCAGGGAAGACAAAGACGACCAGTTTGCAATGCGCGCGCGCGCGAGCGCGGGGGGAGGCGTTGGACATGGAGCTTTGGCGTCTTTCGGCTGCGGTGGCCTCCTTGTAATGGCCTCCAATCGAAGGAAGCGATGGCCTCCAACCTACTAGCGGGGCTTGGAGATCGGAACGAAAAAACATGTTCCAAAAACGGATCCGCGCCGCTTGGCACCGGGCATGGGTACCAGATCCTCCGGATCCTCCACCGAGCTCGAACCACGGCGTGGCGCGCGGATGGTGCTGGTCCGAGACCGAAGCTTCCTGCGTTTCGACCGCGCGCTCCCGCAGGAGAATTTGAAGAGGCGCCCAATCAACTGGCATTGTTAAGTAGCCAGGAGTTGATCTTCATGGGCATCAGTTGTGTGGTCGCAGTGCCTCGAACAGAAGCTGGATGCTTTGATGGACCAGAGGGAGTGCCCATTTGACTGGGTGGTTTGGAACGGACTTGGGAGGGTCAGTTGCTAATCGAATGGTTTTTTAATTCAAGACAAGACGCACATCTGTCCTTTTTAAAGAGAACGAAAAGGTGTGTTTATGGTCATTTCTCTTTAGATACTTCTTTAGGCCTTTCTTCTTCTTTCCCTTCTTCTTTCTCTTTGTTGCTTAAGTGTGACGTGCTCAATTTCACCAAGCTTCCAACTTTGGTCAATAATTAATGCATGTTCACTTTACTTTGAGGTGTCCTCCATCCTTTTGGCTTCTCAAGACATACGTCAGTGAGCTCCCTGTGGACCGTCTACCGGTCTACCATCTACCATCACTCGACCGAGGCAGCCATTAGCTATGCCAACATTTGGTGCCAAAGCCTGATTAGTGCCACCAGCATGCTGATCCTCGTCAACCTCACCAGGCGAAGAGCCGCCAGAGCGCGGGGTCCGCACGTCGTCCGAAGTGTTCCTTCGAACACCACCAGGACCAACCCCGTTCGTCCGGTGGTTTTGGGACACCCCCTGGCTTAACCGCTTTACGGGGCTATTGATAGATTTTTGCTATGGAAGGTCCTGGTAGTCAAAAAATCAAACACCGGGGCCAAGCTCTCGAGCACTGCAAAACCGTTCAGGGTGTAGGGGTTTGGTTGACATCCCAACTCATGGCCATTCAATGGCCATTCGATTTGGGGGACCCAGTCGACCGTGTTTCGCTCATCTGTCGGATCGAACGGTGGCCCGGGACACGTCTTCGCAGGGACGAAGAGAGCGACCAAACGGGTCTCTCTTCACTCCATCTTTGTAGTTGATCAGCATCTCTCCCTTTCAGACTGGGCCGTACGACCAGCATTTTGGAGCCCCCTATTTGAGACTCCCCCCAAGCAGAAAACCCATCCAGACTTCCAGACACACAAACAAACACGACGATGCAGTGCACGCAGGTTCTTGGTCATCTTGCTGGATGCCACGCTGCTGCACACGGACCGTCTCTCCACGTTGCAACTCCTGGGCGCCTTGATCACCGTGCTGGGAGGCGCCCTTCGGTTCACGAACGCCGCGGCGGTCACGGTCACGGTGACATTCGGCGCGGTGCACCCCGTGACGAGCACGGTGTCTTCGTACATGGCCGTTCGGCCGAAAAGGGGGGGAGGCGACGGGCGGTACGGCAGGGTTTGCACAGATGGGCATTGACTTGCCTAGATGTTTTAATGTGTTTTTGCATATACGATGGTGAGCTCAAGAGTCTAAAGTGGCGGCAATTTGCATGTGTCATCTTCCCCGCTGATTAAACTGTTTCTGGTTCTAAATCGAGAGCCATATAGAGGCTGCCCTAGTGCGAAAGAGAATGGATCTTGGGGATTTGTCGAGTCGATGGCTTTTTGGAACTGGTCTGAACCGCATCACAAGGGATCAGATCTTGTTCGTTTCAAGATCTTGACGAGGCCTCCAGCACGACCCATGTTTACAGTCATGAACGTGGAAAAGGAAAAAACGTCCAGCGGTCACGTTCGACGGGGTGCGGACTCCATGGAGGTTCGGGGTGCCCAGCTACTCCCACAGCCCCTGGATGGGACGAGCCACACGAAACCCCGTTGTGACTCCTGGGTGTGCTTTCTTGTTCGATGTGTTCTTTGGGGGGTTTTGCCTCAGTTGAGTATCAGTGTAGCATCGCATCTCACCCATGGGAGATTGTTCTGAGCACAAGCCACCTAGACACTTGAAGTGCTTTTGCCCTTTTGTTTCTGTTTGGAAAATGGTTGGTTCTGTGCTTCTTGTTTTTTGGATGGCAAGAATCAGAGTGCAAAGAATCATCATCGCAGGTCCCAGGCGCACGATGGTATCGCTTTGGATGTCCGGAAGAGACCCCTCCCAAATCGACCCGGGGTCCCCACTCGCTCGCTCAGCTGCGGGTTCCGCTGCAGGCATGGCATTGGCGATGCCTGACTCACAACCAAAGGAGGAGCCTGCAGCAGCTTCCTACGCTCCTGCGAAGACATCGCAAGAGCCATGACTGTTCGAAGTAATTCATTTCTGACGGCTCCTGCTGCGGGGATAGTCGTTTCTTTTTGGCCTCCCCCAGGGCGCTGATGTTGAAACTGTTTCGCACCATGTGGGTGTTCGCGCCTGTCACTGATTGTCTTCGCTCGCGCCAAAGGGGGGGGGTGTTTGCTCCTGGGTCGGGTGAAAGTCACCTTGATACCCCACTCACGTCAGTCCGGTCGCCAGAAGTACTGAGCAAACGACGGACCCGGGGCACGAGGTGACGACCCAGGAGCGTCCATTTGCGACTGGGGAGGCGTGTCAGGCGGCCGCGGGCGGAGCTGGAGCTGGACTGCATTCCTCGATGCTTTGGGACAGCATTCCTCTCCGACTTCTAGGGAAATCGAAGAAACCTCCAGCCAGTTGAGTATTTGCTACTTGTTTGGGTTCGTATCCTCAAAAGCTCGTCTCTTTTTTGGATATGCTCGTCTCTAATTTTGGAGTCACTAGGTACATGGGAGGGACTTATTCGTGGATGCTTCGACCGGTTGTGCTTTCGAGTGCTCCCCAACCGGGGGTGTCCTACCCGTAAAACGGTCGGGGGGGCCTGGCCACCAGGCCATCCACTGGGCCCGTCCGGTCGGTTGGTTGTCCTGCCGACCGTCCGGTCTTCCGGTCTTCACTCGCAACTGGGCCGGTGGGGGCAGACCCCAGGCCGATGTCTCAAGATCGGACCCGAGTAGAGGTCCAAGAAGACGGTCAAAAAAACAGGAGGTGTGTTGTTTCCAAACTGGGAAGGCTGTGACAGGAAACAGCGACAAATGGCACTCTTGCTATACTTGAATGGGACGTTCGGCTCGCCCCTTTGGTTCCTGACTGCTCTGATGCCTCCATCACATTCCTATATAGAATGGTGGCTTGTAAATAGACGATGTGTTCAGAAAAGGTGGATATTTACCTGATCTACGAAATCGATTCGATACCTGGGGTTCATCGTTCCATCGTTGAAATTCTGAGCCCGGACCACTCCGCGCGAAGTCCGCTTCGCACGCTTCGCTCGAACACAAGTTTCGCTCGTCCGAAGATCGGGCCTTTTCTCGCCCCATCCGCCTGCATGGGGCATGTCCCCCTCAGTGCGGGTGCTGTGGTGCTGTGGTTGCGGGTCAAAGACCGAGTTAAATGAAATCAAATCGGAGTATGAAACCAATTGGTTACGAATACGTCATGTCAGAGAAGACAGGCGTGTTGTTTCTCAATGTTCCTCTTCTCGTTGAAAAGCTTGGCTTTTTGGTTCCGACACATGTCGATGAGTTGCGTTGAAGTTCTTGACCCTTTGGGTGACCCATGGGACGTTCGTTCTTGGGTTCGTTCGGCCGTCACTTGGTACGACAAGCGTGCTGAAACGTGAGGATCGATGACTTCATGGATCAACAGAGGTAGCGAGTTCCGTGACCGGGACCATAGGACCCGTCACCTGGGGGTACCCAACTAGGATAGCCGAACGTTCGGGTTCTGAAGAACCTCTGCTGGGAGTCTTCCTTTTTTTGCAAAATTCTCTTGGATGTGTGAAATCCATTTCTTTGACCCATCGCTGAATCGTTTGCTCCTTACAAAAGATGAGGACCTTTGCTCCTTTCCCCGGGAGCAAGCTCCTGGTGGATGGCCCCTGGCGACGTCGCAGGAAGAAAAGGCAGAGACACACCATGGCCCAAACACTCCATGAGACTGCCAGTGAGGACTGCCGAGAAACGGCCAGGGGTGGGCCATGAGGGGTCTGGCCTGATCGGCAGTCCTGGCTGGCAGTCCCATGGAGTGTCTGGGATGGGAGTTGGAAAGTGAGTTCAACGATCTCTTGGACGGTCGTGAATGGAACCAGTCCTGCTTTGCTGGGGAAGGTGGAACCCCTGGGGGTCAATTCTCCGGCCGAAACTCAGTGGAACTCGTTTTGCCAAGTTCATTTGATGAAAAAAAA